CAGCTCTGTGTCAGAAAGTATGGATTGTGAGTGTGCCTGTGTGCTTTTCACCAGGACTGTGTGAGGACAGGGATCATGCGTGTGCCTGTGTGCTTCTCACCAGCTCTGCGATGCACCTCAAAACATGCAGCTGGCCCTCACTGCCCCATTGGTTAAAGTAAAAAGACGTCGGTGGTGTTGGTGGTGTTTTTGCAGTTTAAAATCTGACGTTTATTAAACAATGATGCTGAATTTATACATATTAATAATTTTTGGGCACTACGATATTTCAGGCATGCTACTAATCTGCTTATGAAACTCTAGGCGTAAGTAAGTCTGTATAGTACCAAAAAGCTGGCGTTTGGGCAGATTTTTACACCAGTTGTCTAAAGGCCTGGTGATTATTGCGTATGCACCATTTAATTGTGCTGCTACAGCTAAATGGGTATCGGATTTTAAAAAAATTTAATCTCTAAGAAAGCAGGTAGTTGAAATGATTCAAATGGAGGCTGTGTAGTTATTAGCTGCTAAATGGTTTCAAGCTCTTTTTGGATGTTGTGTAGCAAACGGGTCACTTTTTCCTCCTGTAGGATGATCCAGGAGGAGAAGGAGAGCACCACACAGCGGGCAGAGGAGATTGAGAGCCGTGTCGGCAGCGGCGACAACTTGGGAGGGCGATTTCGCTCACTCAGCTCCCTCCATCCATCCTTTGCGGGGTCCTCTCAGGCTGGATCCTCACCCCCGGGGTCTGGCCACTCCACCCCATGCCGTATGCCTCGCAGCCCCAACCGGGAGGTCGACCGAATGGGCGTCATGACCCTGGTGAGGCATATTTCGCATTCTATATAAAGTACAATCCACCTCCCCTTTTATCTTTGCCGTATTGTTAGCTTGTTTTGGTGCATTTTATCATTTAGCATGTTAGCTGCATGTGCTCTAGTATTATAATTAGGGGTGTAAAATGCATCAGTGCATCATGATGAATTGATTAAGGTGGCAATTCAGTTGCACTAATCTGTAACGTTAAATTTGCTTATTAATTTTTGGGCGCAAAATCCTCCTTAAAGATAGTCCTGTGTTTGTGTTACGCACTCACTTGCTGCAGGTTGATACACAGTGCTGCATGCAACTTTCCAAGATGCAGGATGGCAGGGGAAGGCTTGTTAATATTCATAATAATAATTATCTTTGTGCTGATGCTTTTGGGAAGCACCCTTCTTGTAGCACAAAGTGTCAAACATTTGATAAAGTGTTGGCCATTACTACTACGAGGTAGCTAACTAGCTAAGTAAAAAGTGACTAGTTTTATTTGTGTGTATATATCTGTTAACATCGGTATTGGCCGATATTTGTTACAAGAAAAAATCAAGATATTGCCATTGGTCCAATATGTCACTCTTGACCCCTATTGGTAGCCAATATTAAACGTTTTCATATTCAAAGTTAGCATGACAAAGCTAAAGACATAACTGCTAAAATCATGGAGATGATTGGAATGAATGAAGAGCCATTTTCTGTAGTGTCAAACGAGAGATTTTGTCTGTTCATTCACTGTTTATAAGAGGTCTCAAAGTAATGGCCCACGATTTATAAATCTAACCAGCAGATTGATATTCCATTTTCTACAGAATAATAAATAATGTAACATCATTCTGCTAATCTGTGCCGGCAAGCTCAGCACATTTCACCACTTGTAGTGAATCATACCTAATTGTAATCGAATGCCTTGGGGCCAACGATTTACACCCCTAATTAAAATCATTGTCTTAATTTGGCAGTTTGTCATTCATTACTGTTTTTGTGTTACACCAAAGTCATTGTGTTTCTCTGGTTATGATGGATCCTCTAGCCCACATTAACACATTTTTGTGTCCCCCAGCACTCCTGCTATGATCCGTATGTTACTGAGACCTCCCTCTCACATCAGACTGTAGCTTACCTGCAGTATTCCTCCGCTAGCTCCGCCCCTCCATATAGCTATGCACCGTGCTACATCAAGGTACTGGCCAGTTCCCCCAGTTTACTTCTCAAGTCTGCGGTCCTATTCACACCAGTGAGCGTGAAGCTGTTTCCGCATTCAGCGCACCAGCCTGTAATAGATGAGCGAGCTCCCCCGAGTCTCCTGCTGAAGCTCACTTGCTCTGGTCACCTCTGCTTGGCTTCCGCATATAAACCCTGCTCTCTTTCTCTCAATTCTCTCTCCGTGTGTACAACCTCTCTGCCCATACTTTTTTTTTTTTTTTTGGTTTGGAAAAGGAAACATGCTATTAAACTATCAGATAAGCTCCTTCCAAAAAAAGCCACTTTGAAAATATTTACATTGGAAATACCAGACCCAAATGAACCTATAACGGTCTGTTTACCGCTCTGTGGTGCTCCCCCTCCCACCATATTAAGTCTACCACAGTGCCCCAGCCAGCTCAGATTTGTGAGCCATGTCATAGCGGTTGGTGTGAATATGGCCCCAGAGTTGAAGTCGCTGATGACAGCCCCAGCGCTGCCTGCTGGCCCTGTGTGCTCAGTGTGCCTCCCACCTGTCCTCTGTGGCAATCAGCTGCACACCACAGCACCTCTCTCCTCAGGTTTGCTGCTCTTAATGCAGCCGTGGATGTTGGCTGCTGGCTGCTTCCTCTGGCCTGTCCCCTCTACCCCCCGTCCAGTCAGTGGGCTGGCGCTGCATCTTGCTAAATGCTGTTAACTCTTCTGCTTCCCTCCTGACCTCTTCCTATCATGCTTCCAACAGCCTAGTGATTTACGGAAACACCGCAGGAAGGTAATTGCAAGAAATAATCTTTGGCCAACAGGGACAATTACAATATTATGTGTAATGTAGTCTTTTTTTTATTACTACTAAAAGTTAAGATTTCAAGAAATGGCTTGAGACTCAATTTAGTAGTCATTTAGTAGATAAATGAATGTATTTGCTTCTGTTATACTGGGCTGTGCACTTAATTTGATTTGCCTGCAGTATTATTTTTTTTTTCTTTAGAAAATAAACAGTAATTTGAAGTGCTTGTCCATGAAGTTATAGAAGAAAGTGCTTGAAACCATAGTGTATTGCACTAAGTTTGCTGCACTAACTATTCGTTTTGCTTACACTGTTCTTTTCATTTGATTGGAATGTAACAGTTCAGTGCCAGTTTTAAGGTTACGGAAAATGCTACTCCAGTAGGGCAGGTAACATAGGCTCTTACCCTTTGTATTATTGCATGTTTTTCTTTGTCTCCCCGTTGCTCCAGACATGTTGATACACAGTGCCCTCCATAGTATCTGGGACAAAGACACACTTTTCCTTGATTTACCCCATGAACAACACATACATGATTAAAGTGCACATTCCAGACTTAAAGTTGCATACATTTCACCATGTAGAAATTACAAAACATTTTATACATAGTCCCCCTCATTGCAGGACAGCATAATATTTGGGACATTTGACTTCACAGCTGTTTGTGATTACTCTGGTGTGTTTCATTGCTTCATTAGTGCAGGGATAAGATACCTAGGCTTGCTTCTACCATTTGGAGTCTGTAGTTGCCATTGTTCAACATGAGGAAAGAGCTTTGCCAATGAAAGTCAAAGAAGCTATTATGAGGCTGAAAACCTTAGGATTACAAAATCAACTGTCTGGAATATTAAGAAGAAAGAATGCACTGGTGAGCTCAGAAATCGCAAAGGGACTGATGGGCCCAGGAAGACCTCCACTGCTGATGGCAGAAGAATCCTCACTATGGTAAAGAAAAATCCCCAAACGCCTGGACAACGGATCAGTAAGTCTTCAGGAGGCCAGTGTGTCTTTGTCAGAGATTATCTGCTGAAGACTTCATGAACAGAAATACAGTGGCTACACTGCAAGATGCAAACCACTAGTGAACCGTAAAAACAGAATAATCAGATTACAGTTTGTGAAAAAGTACTTAAAAGAACCTGCAGAATTCTGGACAGATGAGACCAAGATTAACCTGTATCAGAGTGATGGCAGGAAGAATGTGTAGATAAGAAAAGGACCCGTCTAAGATCCAAAGCATACCAGCTCATCTGTTAAACATGGTGGTGCGGATGTTATGCCTTGCACATGTGTGGCTACCACACTTACCTTCATTGATGATGTAACTGCTGATGGTAGTCACACAGTGAATTCTTAGAAGTACAGAAACATTTCATCTGCTCAAGTTCCAGTAAATGCCTCAAAACTCATTGGCAGGACTACATCGTACCAGAAGATAATGATCCCAAACATGCTCCTAAAGAGAACTAAAAAATGGAAAATTCTTGAATGGACAAGCCAGTCACCCAATTTAAATCCAATTGAGCATGCCTTCCATATACCGAAGAGGAAACTTAAAGGGACAATTCCCCAAAACAAGCAGAAGCTGAAGGTGGCTGCAGTAGAGGCTTGACAGAGCATCACCAGATATGATGCTCAGCACCTGGTGATGTCTATGAATCTCAAACTTCATGTAGTTCTTGCATGCAAGGGATATGCAGCAAAGTACTAAATATGACTGCTTTAATATGCACACCATTGCTATGTCCCAAACATTATGGTGCCCTGAAATGTGTACACTATGTATAAAAAAGTGCTGTGATTTCCACATGGTGAAACTGAACTTGTGAAACCTTTATATTAAAATCTGGAATGTGCACTTTAATCATGTCTTAATTGTTTGATTTGAAATTTTAAGCTGTGGAACAGAGGGGTAAATAAAAGAAAAATGTCTGTCCCAAACGTTACAGGGCTCTGTAGGTTTCCAGCAGAAATAATGTTCTGCAGCAAAAAGTTTTTGATTGTTGTGGAGATTTAGGTTCTGCATTTAGAGCAAATAACGGTACAACTTCTGACCTATAACAACCTGCCCCCCACTGTTGAATCTTCCTGCAATGTCCTGTCATATACTTTCTGCTCCAGTCCCTAATACAGTGTTAATGTTGCTATCCTTACCCTTGTGTTCAGTCTTCACAGGATGACAAAGCTACAATAAAATGTGAGACCTCTCCTCCTTCAACCCCCCGGTCCATTCGTCTCCATGGAGGGAGCATTCATGCAGCCAGTCATGAAGACCTCAGGGATATCAGAAGGTACTCTAGTGACTGGCCACCCAAACATGGCGGTCACCTACATGTCGTGATGCAGGTGTTTCAGGCTGTTGCTGAGTGCCATTACTAGTCTCACTGTGTTTCTGCTATGCAGCACTCCCAGCCTCGCCGACGGCCAGGGCAGTAATCCCAGTAGCAGCAACAGCAGCCAGGACTCTCTGAACAAGGCTACCAAGAAGAAGAGCATCAAGTCATCCATCGGGAGGCTTTTTGGAAAAAAGGAGAAGGGCAGACCAGGCGCCCTTGGCAAAGATGGCTCCAGCCAAGGTTGGTCCTATGTTTTGCCGCTGCTCTAATAATATACAGCTTCTGTATCAATCTGCTGTCTAGAATTTCCCCCATGGGACCATTGATCTATAATGTAAAAGTGCAGTGAAGATTTGAAGTATTTAATACACTCCACTTCAATATACACCATGAAATATGTGCCAAAGGTATATGGACACCAGCTTATCCAAAATCTTATTCTAAAGCCAAGGGTATTTATATTGTTGCTGTAACGGCCTCTACTCTTCTGGGTAGTCTTTCCTTTAGATGTTGGAACATTGGTGGTGGGATTTGCTGCCATTCAGTTTGAGTGATCATATCCTTTTTGGTGAGCTTGTGCGGCTTACTGCTTTGCATCTGAATTTGCTTAGACATTTTCACTTCACAATGATTTCACTTGTGGTTGACCAGGGCAGAACTGATTTGTTGGGAAAATGGCATACTGTAATAATGCCAAGTAACTTTTTCCATATGACCATCCATTTTACTGCTATTGTCTTACTGGAGATTGCATAGCTCTATGCTTAAGTGTATTCCCTGGACAGGGAGACTGCCACACTCACTCGTCTCTCGTCAGTGAAGTAACTCAAAGTATTTGATGGCTTTTTCAAACTTTGCAGGCACATTATTGAGCATGTTAACTGGAACTGATCAAATTTTGAGACAGATCGCACCAAAATTGAAGTCACTCTGCATAGTGATGGCAACAAGGCCAGTTTCAGACACTTGATCCCATTAGTGTGATGAATCTACCCCACCCAAAACTGAAGCAACAGCACAAGGTGGCAGCAGAGGAAGAAAAGGGAGGCTGTTCCATTTTGGGAAAACAATAAATCTGAAAATATGGATCTTTTTTAAACTTTCCAGGAATATTGTATCGGTCAGTGGTTCTCGAACTGTGGGACATGAGATGATTTTCTGAATATTCTAAAATAGTTATTCTATACGTGTTTTCTTCATTGCCATCCCTACCCTCGGCAAAATTTATTCTTGACATTTAGGCCAAGTCTTAGTCAGTGGTGGCACTTGGAAGAACAGACGTTTATGTGGTGAACCTGATTTCATTAAGACATGTCACTCAAATGCCTCGTTTCCACCAATCCGGTGCTGGTGCCGGACTTTTTCCCAGTCTAGTACTAGTTTTGCACGTTTCCACCTCAAAAAACTGGCGTGGGTCAGAAAAAAACTATTCCAGCATGGCACCACAGAAAAGCTGATTTCAGAATTTGGTACCGTAACATCAGCGAAAGTGGGACGGGCTATCATGTCCAAACCTGCATACCCGGAAAATTCAATCCATAACCGTTTAGTCTAATATTGCCGGTACTCGCAGTGAAACAACTTGCCTGCTTATTGGCAGAATAATGTTACATCATTTTTTTTTATTCTGTGAAAAAGGAAAGATCAATCTGCTGGCCAGATTTAATACACTGCCCGGCCAGAAAAACAGTCGGCATTTGATTTTTTTGTCGGATCACCTTTAGCTTTGATTATGGCGCCCATTTGTCACGCCATTGTTTCCACAGGCTTATGCAATGTCTCACCCTTTATTTTCATCCAATAGAGAGAGCGCAACAAGTCATACGCTGAACTTTTTTTTGGTTCAGCATCTTCTAAAAACTTAATCCAAAACTGCTGAAAATAGATTCTAAAAACAAAGTAAAGCTTAACCTTTACTTTACTTTCACTTTCCCTACATAGTATTTTGGTTCCATTCTTTTTTTGAAACCGGTGGAAATGTGGGCAGGTTCTCAAAAGGCTCCAAGCGGGAACCAGCACCAGCATTGGCTCTGTGGTGGTGGAAATGAGGCAAAAGTGAGGTTGTTTATAGAGTTTTTTGCGGAGGTGGGGAGAGCGTCGGTTAGGCTTGGGTGGTATTATGGTACTATTTTTGGTTTACCACAGTATTTTCGATTGGTGAAATTATTGTGGGGGACCTGTAATAGCATTGGTTTTGAAAATACTGTATAACATGGATACTGCCGAAGCCTAGTATGGGGGACTAGAGATAGAGGATCAGAGGTGTGAGAGGAGTAGTTATATGATTATATTTGATTGGGGGAGACACAGCGGTCTGGGGAATACATTGTTGGTCATGCCTTTGTACAGACAGCTTTGAGTTACACCTCTTTCAGCCTTTGGTATTTCAGCAATTCCTCTAACTGCTCCTATTATGTGTGTCCACGTACTTTTGGCTATATAGTATCTCTAACCATCAATTCATCTAATTCATCTGCGCTTTAATTCATGTATTGATCTAAGGTGGCTTTTCAAATTACATGTCTGTTTTAAAACAAGCTTAAGCTTTACTGAAGCAACACCCGCTAGCGATGTCATGACCTCCAGCAGGTACACCTGACGCTGAAAACTCGCCATCAGATGCCTTAGGCCTTGGCAAGCTGGGCAGCCAGGGGGAGAAGAACAGGAAGCTGCAGAAAAAGTAGGTGTCCCTGCTCCTGCCCTGCATGTTGTGATGACCCCCTTCGGCATGTGGTTCATGGTGGTGTGGCACTGGGATTGCCAGCTGCTAGTCACGCTGACCCTGCCTGCCCTTGTGCTTTCTGTCATGGTCCTACACCACACGCACTTAAATTAAATGTCACATTGGATGGTGGTAAACATCTGTCATTGCTGAATTCATTAATTCATTCATCACATCACAGTCATCTGTGTGTTCTTTTAGCAGTGTTTTTATTCCTTTTACAATCATTTAATTTATAAAAGTATATTAATTTTTAAACTGCTTTATTATTAATAAGCCAACAGTAGTTCCCATCTTGGGAAGTTTAACCCATTTACTTACCAGTCTAGTTTCATAACCACTGCATTTCCTGATTTATTTATTCATTTATTTTTGTATTTATTTTAACTCACCAGTATTTAATTTTAATTAATCTTGTATAAGTATGCTAGTCTCCTCATTTTAGCTGTTGCTTCAGCCATTTAGTTTTTATTTTGTTGAATTTTGTTCCTTCTTTCCCCTTATTTTACTCCATTTTCATATCATAGTCCAAAAACTGGGTAAGTTCATTCGTTTTGGTTTTGCTTCATCTTGCATTAACTTTATAGCTGCAGTTTCTCTCCGTTCTCTCTGCTTCAGGATGTCTTTTGGCATGTTATGCTCTCGTAGTTTCTCAAGGTCCCAAACACTCATCTTTCCAGTTTAGTTAAATATTAAATGCACACAAAACATGGTTTGTGCGTTTGAGTTTGTGATGCATGCATCTCGGCACTGTAGTTTGAACCCAAAGACTTGTGGGCTTCTGTTCATTGTCAGGCAGCAGCAAATTGTCAAATTTTTTGAGTCTCAAAGATGGCAGGATTGACATCTATACTTGAGTGCACCCTGTTTATGAATGCACCCTTTTACTAACACTTAACTGGGTTCTGCAATGCAGATTCTCAAAACTGGACATGGGGAATCTAGTTTGTTCTTGTTGATATTAGAGTACCATTTGCTTGGTTTTTCATTTGGCTGCTGTTGGGTTTGTAATATGAGTACTGTATAATTGTTTGGGCAGTTTCAAAATCTAACCTACAGATTAATGAGATTCCCAGTGACCAAGTTTTGAGATTTTTTTTTTTTTCTTTATTGATTTCACTTTGGGCTGGAGTTTCCTGGAATTTCTGCTGTCACAAAGCATGCAAATGACTGCATCAGGGACATCGATTGCGTTATCCTGTAACATTTTAACGTGTTTAGTACCTTGTTGTGCATTGCTGTAGGCTTTGCTGTCACGCTGGGTATGTTACCGAAAACTTGCTGGGTCACTACATTAATATTGTGGTTGCGGTAGGTGGAGAGGAATAACAAAATGAATGATTTAGACTGCTATCACCTTCACCTGCACAGTATCATTTATCCGAAGTATCTCTTTAATCTGATATTTGTTAGTGTCTAGAAAGCCAGTTACCCTCCCTGCACATTCCTACAATCCAATTTCTAACAGTAGGAAGTGATATGATGACATACATGAGAAATTACACCTTTTATTTTAACAAATGTCCATCCATACACTCCGTTTAATCATGTAAAAATATATGGATTCAGAACTCTTTAGGGGTCTTCAGGCTCGCATTGTTGACACGGTGACATTGTCCTTTGTGTGTGTGGGGCTGTGCTGTACTGGCACCTCTGACTGGAATTAGTAAGTAGAGGTGCACCAATCCCACTTTTTCAGTGCCGATATTGTAACCACTGCCGGAACAGAGGGTATTGTACGATATAAGTACCAATCAGATACCAGAACCTTTTTTCTAACTAGTAAATACAAATTGGAAACCTATGTCAAAAAAGCTTTGTCAATTAGGCTACTAGAAACATACATAACATACTGCTCCACCTCATTTGCACATCTTGCATTTGCAGCTCAATCTGAATATATTCCAAGCAATTATACACAAGTGGAAACTGCTTAAAATGCCCCACAGCTTTTTTCCACTGGCAACAGCGTCACTTACACTTCATTGCAATAGCAGCCTTTCGTGTTTCAAAAGCTGTGGTGAGTGTGCAAGACAGCACAAGCTAGTGACTCCCAAAGTAAACAATACTTCAACCTTTTGGTTTTTTCAAGTATAAAATACTTCTGGATTGAATACATGCAAGTCGCTTTTGCTATCATCACCCTTTTATCAGATGTTCTTGTGCTCCTCCTCCTGCAATGGGTATGCACATGATGTCACAGCAGGCAGATGTCACTGCGTTCACACCCACTGAGTGGCAAAAAACTGAGTGGCAGTGTTAGTGTGCTGCCTTTATGCTGCGAGCTATCATGCGATTGATTGATTGTACAAATTGATTTAACAAGAAGATAACTGAGTATCGGACTTGGATCAGTCACATATCCAATCCTGACTGTCAGATCGGTGGCACCTTTATTAGTCAGTTGACCAGGTAGACTGACCGTCTGTTAGCTTGAATTCTTGGAGTGTCCAGGGCTTTGCATTTGCTTCAGGTTTTCTTGTGTGGTTATTGTCAGTTGGGTTGAATTAGGTTGAATGTGGTTGATAACTAGAAAAGTCACCAAATGCTGACTCTGCTGTCACCTCCAAAAACAGCCTGCTCACCTTGGTGATTGTTGATATGTGCACCATATTGTGGCAGGCATGAGCTGCTGGAAGAGGCGCGCAGACAAGGTCTGCCGTTTGCCCAGTGGGACGGCCCTACAGTGGTGGTCTGGCTGGAGGTAAGTCCACAATCCACTGTGTCCCATTATGGATGCTGGACATCTTCATGTGGTCTTTTGGTGAATCTGGTAAATTCATTGACTTGTATAGAAATATTTTAATGGAGCTTGTTATGAAGCATTACATAGGGCAAGTTTGGGCCACATTTACAGTGTAGTTGAGGTTGTGAAGTTGACCGGTGTTGCTCTGACGGTCTCCTCAGCTGTGGGTGGGAATGCCCGCCTGGTACGTGGCCGCCTGCCGTGCCAACGTGAAGAGTGGCGCCATCATGTCGGCGCTATCGGACACAGAGATCCAGCGTGAGATCGGCATCAGCAACCCACTGCACCGGCTCAAGCTGCGGCTGGCCATCCAGGAGATCATGTCCCTGACCAGCCCATCGGCGCCCCCTACCTCCCGCACGGTACGTCTCTGCTCAGGCTCTGCCAGTCACTGGCACAGAGATGCATGCACCAGAGTTGATTCGCGTGGCAGTGTGTGCCTTGTGGGGCCATAATGCAGCTCAAGCAGCCCATTTATCAGCTGCCGTTTAAGACAGGGGTGGACAGTCTTATCCACAAAGGGCCGTTGTGTATGCAGGTTTTCGCTGCAACTCCCTTATTAGGTCACTAATTAGAGGACTGATTGGCTGAAGAGTCCTCACACCTGGGTTTGAAGAGCTGCCCTAAAGGTTACACCAGCCCATTGCGGATAAGATTGCCCACCCCTGGTTTAGGAAGTTGGCTGTGTTGTTGAACTGGAAAAGGCCTGAGTTAGTTACATGTCCTCTTGACCTGGGCAGAGCTGTGTCTTTCCCCATCTCCAGTGGTATCATCTCCAAGCACCCCTGCTGGAATGTGTAGCCTTTGCCCTCCCTTGGTTTTCCCAGCTGCTGCTGGCTCTCACCACTGGTCCCACTGGTCAGGGAGCAGTAGGCTGCTTCATGGTGTACATGTTAATCTGTTGTGGCTAATGTAAGAACTAAGGAGGGTAAGGTGCCTTCACAATATACCTCTGTGAAGATTAGTACTGATTATAAGACTTGCACTGCCATTGAAACTCCCCAGACTAAATTCTTGAAGATGGATGTGGGTATTTTCATTTGAAACACTGACTCTGTTCCTCTTTTCCACTGGTTGGCTCATGCGTGTTCCTGCATTAACATTCAAGCTCACTTCTGACTGCATGATTATGATGATTCTGCTGCTCTCCACTGCCAATTACTTTGATTAAAAGTCATCACTCACTCTCCTATAAGGCTGGAATCCTGTACAAAATGCACAAATATGCCTGTGCTTTGCTGCTCAGTAATGATATTTTTGTGCTTTTATTCTGCCATCCTTCCCATTTTTCCCTCCCCCCTTCCCCCCTTACACTATTTGCGCTTGCCATTCTTTCTGGGGGTCATGTGATTAGCCCACGGGCAATATATGGGTCACGCACGAAGAGATGGAGAGCCTCGCGGCCACGCCACAGACGGTTAGTCATCCAATCAGATCACTGCTGGATTAAATCTACCACTGCTTTCTTGTGAGTCTGTCTGTCTCGTGTGTGTGTGTGAGTGAGATAATACATATACAGTGGTACCTCAGAACTCAAACTTAATCCGTTCAGAACTCCAGATCGAATCCTAAAAAGTTCGAGTACTGATCGAATTTTCCCCATAAAAAATAATGGAAGACCAATTAATTGGTTCCTGGCCCCAAAAAATTACACCTAAATGTTTTTTTTTAGCATTTAAAAACAAAATGAACCGGATAAAACAAGAGCATATACTGTACTAAACACATCTAAGCACATTTATCAAAACGGTAATTTGTAAAGTAAGAAAGTAAATGTATCCAAACAATGTGTAAAGTTAGAAAAAACAATGTGTTCTGCCCCGATCGTCCGCTCCTTCCGGGTGCCACGCCCCCTCGTTAACCCCGTCTGTAATCCCCGTGTGATCAGCTGTTTCTGGTTGTTGTCATTAGTCCTCTGTATTTAGCCTGCGTTTGTTTGTTTCCCCAATCCGGTCATTGTATTGTCCGTCTGCGTTTTGCCTGCCTTACCTGTAATTAAGCCCAGTATTCCCTGATACCCTAACGTCTGCGCCTTGGTCTCCGTTCCGTCCCCGCTGTCTAAATATATGTATTCAGCAAGTGTAAACATGCAGGATGCTATCACAGCGAATGTGAGGCTGAGACTGAAGCGTTACCCTTGTTTCCACTGAGAGACGTGCTGCGTGACTCATTTCCCCACGCGTACAAGTTATCTTAGGTCAGCGTTCACAATTTGACTTCTGAGATTCAGATCGAGTCCTAGGTAATTTGTTTTCGAACTGGTTGGTTCGACTTTTAAGAAATTCGAGTTCAAATGAGTTTGAGAACTGAGGTACCACTGTAGTTTCATTATACTTACAGCAACAAATAAATTGGAAGCTATAAAAGTAAAATCAGGCATCTCTGGTTTGAGTTGCAGCTAAAAGGCAATTCATTCAGGAAATGTATATGTCACATTACTGATTTGCAGTCAGTAATGAGTAACACTGGAAAAAATTCAGTACATTATTTTTCAGCTATGATGTGTTTTACCATATATTCTACCATACATTCACCCATACCTGCTTCAGCGCATATTAATCATGGGGTCCTCCAGGGTCCTCAGGACTGCCAGGACTGCCTTCAAATCCCTGTCATTACTGTTAATCCTGAATCGGATTTAAGTGCTGGTTCTTTCCACAGGAGTCAAAACAGTTGTGAGATTTTAGATTTTAGACATAATTTTCCTGACCTTGTCTGGTTATTGCTTGTTTGTGTGTATGCTAACACAATACACTTTAATTTCACCTCTTACCCACTAACACTTTTGTTTTTGTGTTTTCTTCTCTTTTGAACTGCTAACACATGTTAACATCAGGAGGATGAGGAGGGCAGCTGGGCCCAGGTTTGCATATTTCTGCTAATTGGTCTCTCCCATAATCCTTATTTCCACTAAACCCTTCAGAAATGTTCTCTGTGATCCTCTCTGAAAAGCTATTTTCAGTAGGGTACTGCCTGTACCCAAGAAGTAAAACAGGTATGTTTACCCTGGGCTGATGGCCTGAATCCTGCCCTCTGACACTAATCATTTTATACTAAGTCTTTATGTTTTATCTAAAGCCCCCTGCATATTCCAGATAACCCACACTGTCAGTTTTTGTATACATGTTAAGGTTTAGTAGTTGAATGGTTTTAAGTTTTGCCCATCTCAGCTGTGGCAGTGTAAGTTGCATTATGAGACTTAGCCAAGGGTGTGGATTTGGTTATGGAGGGTAGGAACATGTCCCTACCAATATTGTGGAAGTGCCAAGCGTGTTAAAGGGCTGGGAGTTTGGGGCTGAATTGGTCCCTACCTGTGTCGAAACCAAACCTCCGCCCTTGGATGTAGCCCGCAAACCTTGTGTTAAATGGCTGTCCTTGATGCCTATGGTAACCGGCAGACCCAGGCTGTGTTGTTGGGGCTGCTCTCAATGAGCACTGCCTTCAGGGCAAACACCTTACCCCTCTGCTTCAGACTTGGTCCTGACACCTCTGTGTAGAAGAAGCTCCTCCCCACAGGTGCTTTGTGGGCCCTTCTGCCAGTAGTGTTGGCTGATCTGGCCCCGTCATGGTCATGGGTGAGAGGCGATTCGGCTGTGTGCTGCAGGACCTGGCCGGAGACCAGAGCTCCACTTAGGCCCCTGTAGACACCATCTGATGGCAGCAGATGCCACCAGACTGGCCAGCCTCCCCTCCTCTGTGTGTCCTGCGGAGATCGGGGACCTAGACACTGCATGACTAATGTCAGCTCATTTTTTCCCCATTGCTGTAGGCCAGGAATTTTTACACTCTGTGCAAACGTTCTGTTGACATTCAAAGGGCGCTATAATTGAATTCAGATGAAATATGTACAAGTAACATTTCCTGTCCTCCTACCGTGAATTATATTCTGAATGGTCAACAATTTAAATCCATGTGTATTTTGCTTAATCAGCTGAACTGGAACTGCTTTTGTTTAACAGCTGTCACTAAAGTCCCCCTTTGTCTGCCCTCTCATTCTGGGCTTTAACTGCTGACATCTGTACCAGAGCAGTTTCTGGGCAAGGTGGTCTTTTCTAAAGAGGAAAATAGAAATTGGCTCCCATACTCTTTTACCACTTGTCAATGTTCACATGCAAGCAATGGATTAGCAAACCTGTGCTGTTTATTTTTAAATTATTGTCACTCTTGCTTCCTCCGTTGTCTCTTAGATATATGTCAAATTTGTTTTGTAACATTCACAGCCCATTCCAAATAAAATTAGTTTACAATTTGAAATAATTGCTGTTTCTTGTAAGGTAACTATTCTGCTCTTCCAGTCAAAATGTAAAATGAGCGGTGACTACGTAGCACTAGCCTGTGTTGACCTGGAATGCCCAGCAGTTACAGTGACCCTTGTGCACAGACCTTGGCGTACGGGGACATGAACCATGAGTGGATTGGCAACGAGTGGCTGCCCAGCCTGGGCCTGCCGCAGTACCGCAGCTATTTCATGGAGTGCCTGGTGGACGCACGCATGCTGGACCACCTCACCAAGAAGGACCTGCGCGGCCAGCTCAAAATGGTGGATAGCTTTCACAGGTACTGCCTGCCTGCCTGCGTGATCTTCTACCTGTGATCCCCTGCAGCATTTTATCTGTCCTTTAGTATGCTTAAGGTTTTGACGTGGTGGCTTGACTCTTGGCTCGCAAATATTATCATGTACCTGCAGATGTTTGTTTACATTCACAATGCAGGTGCATGGAGGTGAAGCCGGAGCAGGTAAAAGTCTAAGAGGAAAAGTCATTTGAGTTTTTTTCTTTTTAAATTGCGTATGTAGGTAATGAAGCCCCTTGGTTATAAACGTCTGCACCTGACAGCTTCTGCCTTTTACAGAACAAATTTCCTGTCTTTCATTCCAGAAATAGCTTCCAGTGTGGCGTCATGTGTTTGCGGCGGCTGAATTACGACAGGAAAGAACTGGAGAGAAGGCGGGAGGACTCCCAAACGGAGGTTAAAGGTACTGACGGCCCCTTCCCCATCAAGTTTTACATAATTTTTCATTAGTTCTCTGAATCTTTATTAGTGCAAACTACTGTACACCCTGGTCCTGGTGCCTTGCCAAGAATGCAGCTATATATAAAACTGACAGTTTAACTTTGATAGTAAAATTTTCCCTCCTAGTATTTTATACAGACATACAGTTCAAGGTAGTTGAATTGGAGCCTTGATGTCATGTCTGAAGGTAATAAAGGACTGGCTCTCACCTAGTATGAAGAGCAGGTGTAGCAGACTGTCGGCAATACTGTTTCAGATGTCCTGGTGTGGACCAACGACCGGGTCATTAACTGGATTGAGTCCATCGGGCTGAAGGAGTATGCAAATAACCTGCTGGAGAGCGGAGTACATGGAGCCCTGTTTGCCTTAGAGGAGACCTTCGACCACAATGCGCTGGCTCTGCTGCTGCAGATCCCCACGCAGAACACGCAGGTACCCAGCATGTCAAAGCACTTTGAGTTGCATTCAGTTGTATGTAACGTATCCCCATGAATTTTATGAAAAGTAGTAGTAATAGTAGTATAGCTGACACTTGCAGGAATATTTGATAACCATTGTTCTACTAATCCTGGAAATTATTCAGGCAGAATGGCCTTATTCTTGCTCATCTGTGGTTTTATCTATTAAATTGGCAACTGACTATATTAACAATTACCTTTATCTAATGGTGTATCTAGTTTTGATCAACTGACATCCACATTTGCTTGCTTAAATATTTCAAGACAAGAATGAATTCTATGAAATGAGGCCATTTTTCTGCTGATATTTGTTATCAGCTTTTGTGACAAGGGCTGCTTTGGGGTTGTGTGTTGGAATGTGACCGTGTCATAAATGTCTTGTAGCGTGGTTGCCTGTTGTAAGATTGGGGAATGAAGTTGGGCTGTCTCCAGTTAAGAAATTTCCTATCTGACCCTGGAACTGGGATGTGGAAGATATTTTTGTTCCCCTTCATATGAATGGAATAATGATGAAATAGCTGAGTGATTTGGTGTTTTTTCCCCCCTGGTGTTTGGTGGTGTTTTGTTGCCATATTGATTGACGGTTGTGTCAGACAAATGCAAATGACTGAAGGGCAGTATAGAGCTCAAAATTAATCGCATATGGAAGTGTAAAAAGTCTAAAGATTAGTCTTTCATTTTGCTCTTCTCTTTTCCAGGCAAGAGCTCTTCTGGACAGAGAATACAACAACCTTTTGGTCCTGGGTACTGAACGAAGACTAGATGAGGTGATCTGAATGTAGCCCTTCCTGGTTGTTGTTATAATTATAAAAATGATTCTGAACAGACTTAACTTCATTTTGTAACACATTTACTCTGGCATTGATATGTCCGTCTCCCGTCAGGATGATGACAAGAACTTCAGGCGGGCACCTTCCTGGAGGAAGAAATTTAGACCCAAAGATGTTCGGGGGATGTCAGTAGGATCAGCTGAAACGCTCCCAGCCAACTTCAGGGTCACCAATACTATGTCTTCACCATCTATGCAGCCAAAAAAGATGCCGATGGACGGTATGAAGATCCTCCTAGTACAAACATTGCATGGGTTACTGTTTGACACTATGACGTAAGGTGATTTTTAACTGCATTAATTTGTTTTGCAACAAATTCCTGTTAGTCCTATGAAAGTTCTTCATTGACTTTCTTGCTGTGTTTTTTATATTGAATCTTTCTGACCATTGCAAAGAGCCTCAGCAAGGCTAAATTCGTATTAGGAAGCTCCTGTGTGCAATAGGTGTATAGAGCTGAATGGCCACGATTTGTGTTCAGAGTTGCTGCTGTTGTCACTCAACAATTACAGTTGGTCTAAGTGTTTTTTTTACACCGCTTAATGTGTGTTGCTAACTTGTGACTAACTGCATGTTCTGCATGTTGTTCATGCGGATCCTGCCAAACAGGAAATATAACTGGGCAACAAAGGTTGGATTCTGCTACAGTAAGAACTTACTCCTGTTAACACACCTCAGCCACGGTAAGTCAAAAAGAAACTGATTCCACTCTGCAAATATTCTATAGCTGTTACTTGGAAACTAAACTATTTTGTTGAAATGAGGAGTTTGTAACTAACTGCCTGAATTGTAAGTGTTAAGCTACTTTCTAAATGGTGAAATGGTTCCCTTTTAAGTTTGATATGACTGGACATCACTAATTCAATGAATAGACTATTGGTGGACGACAGGCTTAATAACCCAGTCTGCTAAGTGTCGTCATATGTGCGGTAAATGTGGCTTTTATAATATGGGAAGGGCATGTAGTGATCATTCTTCCTTTTTTTCCCCTTCTAGTTTATCCACATTATTTCTATAGGTAATTATGCAGCACAAATCCAGTTGAAGTCAATGTTCACAGAATCAGGAAGGAACCATCAACGTTATGAGGACTTTTAAATATTTTATTACAGAGTATAATTATCAATTACTGCAAATCTCTTGGACTACGCTAGAGAAAATAGTTTATATTTATGTAAACCGATGGGACATTTCATGTAATTTTATTTGCTTTTTTCTTTCAGATTCTTTTAGCCTTAAATGTAAACTACTTCTGATATAACTGAATGTATCATAAATCTGAATAATGTATATGTACCTACAGATCTTATCTATTCTTTATTTCTGATTCTGTATTTTACAATGTCCTTGATTAAACCATGAAATTTAAGCTAAATTGACTAACTCATGTCCCTGCCCATTTTAAATCAAGACAGCGGTTAGGTCAATAACATGGCCAATCTGTCTCTGACCAGCAGGCTGGGGTAAAAATGACTTTTGTTTTGGGATTTTAGGCAGAGCCATGGTTGTTTTTGCCCAGAACAGATGACTTGTTTTTATTTTTTATTTTAGTTTGTTAAAATGGAGATACCAAAACAAAACTTTTGAAAAAGCCATAAATAGTGAGGATGAGGGCTCACTATGGAGGAATTGCCTGGCTAATGGGCCTTAGAGAATCAATTCTCTGAGCAAATGACAGAACTCCATTCCTTCCTCCTCTTCCTTGGGAACACATGTGGAAGCAAGCTGACGTGACTTTCTTTGCTGAAGGACCAATTCCACTGTGGCCTTGTTTCAAATGGCAGATTTGAAGACAGCATTGTTTCTTCAAACCTTTTGAATGCATTGTATGAAGACTTTAAGCCTTATTTTTAATTCATTATTTATTCTTGTCATATAGCAGTTGCCATTTTATTATATATATATATATATATATATATATATATATAATATATATATATATATATATATATATATATATAATATATATTATATATATATAGTGATGGCTGGAGTGTTTCTGAATGTTTTCAGCTGATGTTAAATGCTGGTTTCTCAGCTTGTTGGGCAATGTTGAGAAATCATTCTTAAGGTTTTCTCACCTGTGTGTTCTTTGTCTCTGTGATCTAAACATTTATGCACAATTCAAATCATGTTACTGTCATGTTTGTGTTCTGTTTCTTTTATTAGATCTCATGATCTTGTAACAAGCAATGTACAGTACTTCAACTTTTTATCACAGTATTATTTATTGCTTACTTTCAATAAAATACTGAAACTTATTTTCCACTGCCAATAAAAAGACTAAGTCTTTGTTTAAGAAAACTGGTGTCCTTCCATCATGTTATTGTATACTTAAATGTTTGACATGTAGTTGTGAGAGAGACTAATATCATTGTATATGACTTTTTCATGAACTGAAATGCTTCATTAGTTTCCTTTGTTACTTTTCACATGCAGGTTTGATGAAGTTTGATTTGTAAGGGAAGTACAAATGTCAGTGTACTCAAAAGGGAACAGAGGTATTGAAATTTGAGATCCACATTTCATTTTACTTTGCATTGCTGAGGCATCTGCCCAATTTTGATTTAGATATTTTGATAATTCCATCCATTTTCCACAGCCACTTATTAAATATGCTTTTCGCAAGACATATTGCATCACCCTGGATGCACAGTTCACCTAACTGCATGTTTTTGGCCTGGGAGAGTAAACCCAGTGAAAGTGAGTGCACCCCACATTCAGTGAGGGTGGGATTTCACCCACCAGTTTTGAAGATAATGGCAGTCATACTCTGTCTAAGCATATTCCTCCTGAAAATCTTTACTCTTTGATTTGTTACTGACATATGGAAGGGTGACCCCCTTAATGCTTCTTCACACAGACGCACACAGCTCAATTTAACGGCACAATTGAGTACTTACTATTCAATGTGCAGTATGCAAAGATGTGCAATAACTTGTGATTGTAACACTTGAACTTGATTTACAGAATATTTTATATATACTGTTTCATATGTGGTTAACTTCTTTTGTATGTTGTTCAGCTCTTGTCTGTACTATTTACTTTGTGGTTGCATGGACTTGCCGGCACGCGCTCTGAGATTTGCACTTGGAGGTGCTCTGGGCTTCACCGGAGGACGGCGCTCGCCTGCGCTCCGCTCCCAGGTGGAGCTGTTGAGCCCAAAGCAGGAAGCTGGATACTGGGAGAGCCGGAAGAGGAGGCGTAAGGAATCCGTCCGGCAGCCGAGAAAATCTCCTTTCGCATTATCTTATTGTTTAAAAATAAAAGCGATTCTCACGAGTCCCTAAGAGAGGGTCCTCGGCAGCAAAGGCAGGTCTCAGGGTGAGTATCGGGCTGGTGCCGCATATTAAGCGCCGCGGCTGCGTCAGCCACCTGGAAAACGGCGAGAAACCGAGAAGGATCCGAGCAAGCTGGAAATGCTGAGCAGGAAATAACGTGTCATTAAATCGGTCTCTTTCTGCGGGAATTTAGCTTTCTCTTGAAATGTAAGTGCTGTTAAACACCCGTCAGCTGTTCTTTCGACCTTTTGCTCCCATCACTTGATTGCATATTATGTCTGCTTTATGATGGGTTTATATTTATAATTAAACCTTGGTGAGACTGGCAAATCTCGTTTGTCTCCAATACCCCGTGAAGATGACCTCTTTAAATTGTGGGCGATTTTAAATACCATCGTAAGATTCGTGTATTCGTAGCGGGCTAACTTTATTGACATAGTTTGTTTTTCGGTTTTTACTTGCATATTGCTAATTTTCGTATTCATCCGGAACGGCCGGGGCGCCTTTAATTGCTTAATTTTAATTTATACACATTTGTTACACACATTTAAATTTACATCCTGTATTTGTTTATGGCGATTGGGCCTGTACTCCCCGTGTACATTTATTTTAATAAAACAAATGGCAGGCTGACAGCAGACAGGAGTACAGCTCCTTTTGTGTTGTGACGTGTATGTATGTATGTGTGTGTGTGTGTGTACACATAGGTTATGTTATATAAAATATAATGATTAAGTATCTTAGCATAGTGCTCGGAGCTGGGTGTGGTGCATAGCGATAGTAAGAGGCGCAGGGTACACACGTTGGAGGCTGATCCCGGAACAGCGGAGGGAGCCGTGCGTTCCCCCCCCCCCCGGTTCCACTATATTTGAGCATCATCTGATCTGCATGATTGGCGGGTTTGCAGTTGATGAATCTAATGGGTCTGCTGCTTGTGGGATCTCTACGATGGGAGGCTGATCAGGATGGCTCATGATGCCCGCTTCGGGCAGATGGCTGACTGACGCTGCCGGAATTCCTGGAGCCTTTTTATCAGGAGATCTTTGCAAAGGGGTGGACTCAGTGTCCCTCATTATAATATTGTTTCACTTCTGCTTCTAAATGACATTGCTTATGTGCAGGCGTATTATGCTTAATTCGTTTTTCATGAGGAAGTTATAGTGGTGCATAATGAAATGTTAATGTCTACCGAGGTGCTGTGCAAACTAATTACAATTAGCACTTCTAATGTTTGTGACTTACATATTTATATTCTGTTTATTACTTTTATAAACTGGTATTTTGTCTTAGTGTATGATCCAAATTTCATAGAACAGAGATTGATAACCTGGGAAATATGCTTAGCTTGTTTCCTGTATGTCCCTTTCTACAAGATAGGTTTAGCTTGCCATAGGTCTCCCCTGCTTTAATTACTTCGTTATTATCTCCTTTCTACAGATGTGGAAAGCAGCAGCTGGTCAGTCTGTCAACGTTTCTGCTGACAACGGTGGAGATGATTGGGAAACAGATCCAGATTTTGAGGTAACAACCTAGCTGTATGTTAGAAGGTTCTTAATATTGTCAGTCTGTCTTGCCGGTTCTGTTAAAACTTCGTGAGCAATGTTTCCTAAACCAGTCCTTGGCGACCCACATATGGTCCACACCTTTGTTCCCTCCTAGCTCCCGGTAAAATGTGGACTATCTGCGGGCTCCCCAGGATCGGTTTGGGAAACACTGTTCTAGACTGTGATTTTGTACTGGAAGGTCTAGAGATGAGATGAATGGATTCCTTGCTGGTGACTCTGTATACCCACTGCGAATTCAGTAACTGTAGCTTTGGCAGTTTTACTGTGTTACTGGTTACTGTAGCTCCACAATGTTTAAGCATCACGCAGTCTGCGTGCCTTGTGGCTTTGCAGTTGCTGAGTCTGGTTGATTCTGCTCCTTGTGGGATCTTTTCATTTGGTCGTTGGCTCTTTACCTCTTTTGAATCATTTTCTTTTTTCTTTTCCTTTGCCTCTGGAAAAAAGAATGACGTGTCTGAGAAGGAGCAGCGGTGGGGAGCCAAAACCGTGGCGGGTTCAGGACATCAGGAACATATTAAGTGGGTAACCGACAGTGTTTGTCTCCATTACCTCGCATTCTTAAAACCCTCGTTTTTTATTTGGTGACATGCCATGCCAGTATCTCTTGTGTTTGGTCTCACTGGATCCACTGTGGTACTGCGGTTATCAGAATAGGCACAGGAGTTACCTCGTATGGCCAGGAACATTGTTTCCGTTCATGCATGCAGCATTTCCCTGTTTTGTGTCTTTATGTATTGTGTGCTGAGCAATACATCTAGATGGGGTTACAGTTATGTCACAGCACTACTGCTTCTGCTAAATGTCCGACTGGATGAAGTGCTTCATGTGGGTCTAGTGAATGAAGATTTGGGATTCAGAGCCATTGATTTTTCACTTAATATATGTCAGCGTTTCTGTATTTTCGTAATGCGTAGAATGTTGTTTCTGTTCATGAGTGGTTTTGCTTGCGTCTTCAAGGATCTGGAGCTCACAGATGGCTAAAACATCACTGGTTTTTATTGGCTCAGGATTAGAATTAACTATTTGTCTTTGTTCATTTGCAGCATCCATGAGCTGCGCGAGAACGTTTCAACGGAGCATCATAAGCTGAAGCAGATAGAGCTGGAGACCATGCCCAAGGCCTCCCATGGCTACGGGGGGAAGTTTGGTTTGCAGCAGGACCGCATGGACAAGGTGAGCGCCACTGGGCATTCTGTGAGAGGCTCTTATAGAGCCTCTCTTATATCGTGATTATATGGCGCGTGTGCAATAATCACCACTTTAGATGAAGAATGAAACATTTGTCTAGACGCTGGCTTTTCAACTCTATATGGATATTTACTGGGATGCAAGGAGTGATTCTGTGAACATAAATGACCTGTACATAGGGCTGTTGTGATCACGTCGCGATGTAATCGAGATTATTCAGCGCATGCAGAACAATCACCAAGGCTTTAGATGACGGGTGAAACATTTGTCCAGATGCTTACTTACCCTGGAAATTTGGTGCGCAGGTTAGAAGTGTGCGCAAAATATTAATGAGA